TTGAAGTTGCGCCTTGGCCAGCATCAACCAAAGGTCTCGCCGTCCATACGCCCGGGAAAGTGGAATATCTATGTCATGTGATCACTGGAGAGGGACTTTCCACATACCCCGAAAAGATCTCTGCCATTGCTGAATGGAAAACACCCAGCACCATCACCCATCTAAGAAGTTTCTTGGGTCTAACTGGCTACTACAGACGTTTCACAAATAGATTATGGCATCATTTTGTAGGCCTCTCCATGTTTTGTTGAAAAAAGGGCAATTCAAGTGGATAGATTACCAAGAGAAAGCTTGCATTAAACTCAAACATGCTCTCATATCAGCACCTGTGCTAGCTTCATCAGATTTTGGGCAACCTTTTGTCCTCGAGACAGATGCCTCTGGCATTGGAGCTATAATGTTGCAGCAAGGGAGAGCATTTTTTTACTATAGCAAAGCACTATGCCCTACAAATGCTACCCTCTCAACCTATGACAATGAAACCTTGGCAGTTATTGAAGCACTGAGAAGGTGGAGACACTACTTCCTGGGCAACAAGCTGATCATCAAGCCATATCAATGGTCCTTGAAGTTCATCTCTGACCAAAAATTGACTGAGGGTATACAACACAAATTAATGATGAAATTCTGGAATTTGATTTTACCATCCAATATAAGAAAGGGATATTGAATAGGGCTGTTGATGCACTCTCTAGGAAATATTATCTCTTAGTTATGTCCCAAGTCACTCCTATTTGGGTTGAATACCTACGGCACAACTATGCTAATGACTCTTGTTACAGAACAGCTCTGCACCTGCAGATTACACACTCTCCTATGGAATTATCAGACACAGAGGAAAAAACTAGTTGTGGGCAAAAATGAACGACTCGGAAACAAAGCTGCTCGTTGCACTACACTCTTCACTTGTAGGTGGACATTCTGGCATAAGAGCCAATTACCAAAGGATAAAGGGCATTTTTATTGGTCAGGATTAAAGCAAGACACTGAGACATTTGTAGCTCAATGCTCCTTTTGTCAAAGGTACAAGCATGAGCAATGCCTATCCACTGGCCTCTTGAAGCCTCCCCATGTGCCAGATACGGTATGGGCTCATGTATCCATGGATTTCATTGAAGGGTCGCCCAAATCCCACGGAATGGATGTCATACTGGTAGTGGTGGACAAGTCTCGTAAATATGCCCATTATACACCTTTACTTCATCCTTATTCAGTTCGGTTGGCATATCAAGCTTTTACTGACAACATTATTAAACTGCATGGTTCTCCAAGACAGACCATGTCTGATAGGGACAAAATTTCCACAACAAGTTATGGAAAGTGGAATCGAGGTATGACTCTTCTTACCATCCACAAACAGTCGAGCAGACAGAAAAGATTGAACCAGTGCCTAGAAACTTATTTAAAATGCACTACAACAGAAGAACCAAAGAAATGGGTCTCTTGGCTATCTCCAGCAGAGTATTGGTACGACACAACCTACCATACTGTTGGAGATATGCCCTAGAGGCATCATGTGATGATGACATTTCCATATGTATTCATGAGTCCTTTGTATTGTCCTTTCTATGTGACTTGTTTGTGGAACTATGTATTGTATGATGATTGTTCTAATGGTCCCTAGTTGATAAGGCTGTGCGGACACATATCCTTGACTAGTATACGACTCGGTTGATGACTATGTTTCACAAGTCATGTGCATGGAGATGCTAAACCGATAGTATGGGCTCGGGGATGGAGATCACCGAGCCGGACAAACCCACTTTGAGACGCAGCGAGATATAGTCATATGCTAGTCTCAAGTGCAATGTCTATGCCATGTCCTAGACTTGAGGTCCTCGCATGTTCTCGGGATGAGGATCGACTCACTTAGGGTCTATCAAACGCTACTCCGTAACTGGGTAGTTATAAAGGTAGCTTTCGTGTGAGTCGTGAGACATGCCGCGAGACATGGTTGACCAAGATGGGATTTGCCCCTCCTATTTGGAGAGATATTCTCTGGGCCCTCTCGAGTGATTAGATTCGGAAAGCATGACCATGCGACTTGGGTTAAGTCTTAACCTAGTTCGGGAATCTGTATCGTGGTTTCGAGAAGAGAGGTCAAGCTATCACAAGGGTGACAAGTACTCGCCTTGAGCTCGATAACAAATATCGTGAGGCAAAAGGAATGTTGCATATGCCACATTGTTGAGGTTCGTCAAACGACTTTACGCCCACATGGGAGTTGGCATGTTCTGCTAGGAGCCGCTACCAACTATCGACTCTGGTCGTGTCCATGTGTACGTGAACCTATAGGGTCGCACACTTAAGGGGTTGCAGCCCATTCAGATTGGATCCGAGTGGAAAATGGATGTGGACTCCTAGTGTTGAGCCCATCTCGGAGGTCTATATAAAGGGGAGTGGGCACACCACTTAGGATTGATCTATAGGGAACCCGGGTTAGCCACCGCCACTCCCCACACCCATGCCGCGCAACCGGACCTAGCAGTCTGCCGCTCGACGCTGCTGCCCGTACGTGTGGATACCTTGGAGGCATCGCATCTGCAGTGCTTGGACGAACCGTTCGAGGGAACCGCGAGGTGTCGTTCGCGGGAGATCACCGTTCACGGGTCTTCGCTGTTCGCGGGAGATCGGCTACACGCATCACCAACTCTACTTCCGCTACGGTGACTGCGCGTCTAGTGGTAAACCCGATCCCGTGATCTATTTCCAGCAGCATGATCTTGGGTGCGCGGTAGAAAATTTTATTTGGCGCTAGCATAGTGTACCGCGTGTCCTAATAGTGGTATCAGAGCCAGGTTGTGTGGTGATAGATTCGATGATATGCATATGAGATATGTAGATCGGTTCAGGTGCGAGTCGATGAGATCGGTCGCGCATGTCAGTGTTGAAGGTTGGTTTCGTGATCTTATTTCCGTGATCGTGACACAGAGGTCGTGACACGACTTACCCCTACCGGTCGGTTTCCACCATCGGGGTAAACAGTGGAATGTAAATCCGAATGCAGCACGCGAAGGTCAATGAGATTGATCGAATCGGAACATAGATCAACACCTTGGAAATGTGATTTCCGCGGTGCTGAAACTGTTGGAGCAGTCTTAGTAAAACGGCTGTAACTTTTGCATACGAACTCCGATTTTGCTCCACGACCTGTCAAACTGAAGTTAACGAAAAGTTGGATTAGCAGACCCACCTGCTCAAGTCAGTAGAACATACTCGTTTTTGCAGGGAATGATTGTGATTTGGTATAGCCCATGTATGTTGCTTGTATATTATTGTTTCATGACCTGCATGTCATGAATGCGGCAACCGGCAGGAGCCATATGGTTGTCCCATTATTGTATTAATGACCTGCGTGTCAACATGAGAAGCCATGTAATGTAATTTACTTTCAGTAGCTATTAGTTTTTCGTAGCA